GCTTGTTTCTGTCCCAAAGCATGAAACTAAACAAAGAAAAAGAAAAAGAGGATGAAACTAAACAAAGAGTCTGTGTCTAGACTGGCAAGTTTTTCCGCAAAATCATCTGCTTTTAGTGTAGGCTGTGTCTACACTGGCCGCTTGAATTTCTGCAAAAGCACTGACGATCTCATGTAAGATTGTCAGTGCTTTTGCAGAAATACTATGCTGCTCCCGATCGGGCAAAAGTCTTTTTCCAAAAAACTTTTGCGCAAAAGGGCCAGTGTAGACAGCAGAGATTTGTTTTCTGCAAAAAAGCCCTGATCGCGAAAATGGCGATCGGGGCTTTTTTGCGGAAAAGCGCGTCTAGATTGGCCACGGACGCTTTTCCGCAAAAAGTGCTTTTGCGGAAAAGCGTCCTGCCAATCTAGACGTGCTTTTCCGAAAATGCTTTTAACGGAAAACTTTTCCGTTGAAAGCATTTCCGGAAAATCATGCCAGTGTAGACGTAGCCAGAAAGTCTGCATAATGCCTGTACATGAGACGTAACATCATGACACTTCCTGCAACACTGTGTATCACTTAAACCTCATGGAATGCCGTGGAGTTAAGTGGTGCAGAGCCTGGTGCTAAAGTCACTTGCAGAGATGCATTTTTCCTACTAATCCGAGCTTCTAGTCATTTCAGTAGAGAGGAATTCTATTGCATTTTTTCCACTAGAGGGAGTGCTTGGCTCATCTGTCTACATTAGGGTTTAGAGTAGCTTTCCAGCTATTTTAAGAAGTTTGCAGCTTTACTTACCCTAAAAGTAGACAAAGTAGATTATATGATACTTTTTATTAAAAATGTGAAAATGATTTTTCAGTCAAATCCAAGTTAACATACAATAAATTTTGGAATTTTAAAAAAGAGCTCTAGTCAGACTTTGTAGGGCGGGCAAGGAAAAAACACAATAAAAAAGATGTCTTTAGCTTTGTCTTTTATATATTCAAGTATCTGTTCGAGGCATTACTAAGGGACAGGTTGTCATAGTATGGTCCTGATCCAGCCAGGCACTTAAGCGGATGCTTATCTTTAAGAAAGCAAGAATTCCCATTGCATACAAAAAGGACTATTCATGTTTAGACATGTGCTAGGATCACACATTATGGGCATGAATCAAAGCCCACTGAAGTCAGTCGAGAACTCTACCTCCACTATGAGACTCCTTACTTTTTGAAATCCATACAGATAATTTCTTTCTGGTCCTTTTCAATATCCACATGCAGCCATGAGATAAAAATGATCAGACAACTGTAATCAAGTGCTAGCAAAATGGAGGTAACACAGCTCTACCTATTCTTCATCCATTCAGTCACACCACTAGCACCAAAATGGCACAGTGACTAGACAAGGTCAGTTTATGGACAAAGAATAGTTGGCTGAAGAGGAACCTAAGCAAACAGATATGAAGCTGATGGACAAAAGAAATCCTTTTGAAGAATAGTAACCGCTGTGCAGTCTCCTTTCACTGAAAATACCACAATTGTTCAATATAGTCTATAGCTTAGGTCTCTTGGATTCCTCACTGAGTCTACCATGTCATATAGCAGCATATGTGAACACTTTTTACCATCTCCAGTTGGTTAGGAAGCTGCCTCCCATCCTGACATTATCCTGTCCTCAGTTATTCACATCTTTGTTATCTCTTGGTTGAACTACCTCAGTGCAACATACCTGGGCATGAAGCCTTTAATGTTTAGGAAACTCCAACTAGTAGAGAATGCCATAGTGTATCTCCTCAGCTATAGGTTACCTCAATGTCATAAACTTATAAATGGATGGGCAGGCCTAGTAATTGGAGCAGCAGCAGCCAGGCTTGGGGCTGAAACCAGGGGTCGGAGCAGGAATCAAGAAGGGGATTGGAACAAAGTTGGATCAGGAAGAGGCACAGGCTGGGGCTGGAACAGAAGCAGGCGGAGTCTGTCAGAACCACCAAGCAGCAGGAGATACTCTTCTGAGGTAGCAATTTAGACAGACTGGAATGGCTGCTCTTCCTGGGGGCCTATATCCCTGGCCTTAGGGTCTCCTGGTTAGACTTTTGCTTGTGGATTGGCTAAGTGTTGGTTGATTGACATGGAGCCTTCAAGTTATCAGGCTTAGGAATGACTAAGCAAGTTTAGAAACGACACAGGCCCATCAGATCTGTTTTCCACTCTGTACCCACTGACTTTCCATAGAATACCGAATTAAGTTCAAAGTCTCAGTCTTTAGCTCATCTGCATGGAAGGTAAAAATTCTCATGGTCCAAGGTCCATCACAAATCATATCACCTTCTACTGTGCAAGTGCAAGGCACATTCCTTCACTTTGCCTTCTCTAATATAAATACACAGCAACCTGCATATAAAAGCAACTACCACCATACCACCACAAGACATGCTAGCGAATACACTTCTCCTCCTGGGACAAAAATGTGAGAGGAAACATGTGACAGATGTTAGGCACATTGCATAATGCACTACTAGAAGGCACTCAGGCTATGTCTAGACTGCAAGCCTCTTTCGAAAGAGGCTTTTTCGAAAGGTACTTTCGAAAAAGCCTCTTTTGAAAAAGAGCATCTAGACTGCAAGCAGTACTTTCGAAAAAGCAAGCCGCTTTTTCGAAAGAGAGCACCCGGGCAGCTTTTGAAAAAGCACAGTTTGCATTACATAGCGCCTTTTTTCGAAAGAGCACTTTCAAAAAAAGGCATTCTTCCTCGTAAAATGAGGTTTTCCATGGTCGAATAAACTGCCGTGTTCTTTCAATTTACTTTCGAAAGAACGCGGCAGCAGTCTAGACACAGGGTAAGTTTTTTCTAAAAATGCCACTTTTTTCGAAAAATCCCTGAAGTCTAGACACACCCTAAGCTACTACATTGATGAGTGTGTTATAGAACTAGAAAAAAAGTTGACTTCAGTGGCCTTTGGATCTGGTCCTAAATGAGCATCATATTCAAGAATTAAGATTTATAATGTTAAAAATAGTGCAACCCACAATTTCTATTAAAATACATATGTAAAGGATAGTTCTCAGATTCTTTACAATAGAAGAGAGTTGAACACACAAAAAAATGTAACCCTAAAATACAGAAGAGCTAATTCTAAATTGCTGAACAGAAATTTAATGCAGGTTAGTGTGATATACCCTAAGCCAAGGCTTTTGTAGGCTTATTGTTCAATACAACTGTCTTACCATATATGACAATCAAGTACTATATGGAAGATTGATGGTTTCTGCATGCAGAAATTAATTCCAGCTGTTGTGGAAAAGACACTGTAGAATTTATGACTGAGCTGGAAACCTGTTGAAGTGAAACAAAACACTAAATTGTTATCACAGTGAGGGGGAAAAAAGAATGATTCCCTCATGCAACTTGAGCAAAACATTAAGAAAGCAAAGACACAATTCACACAAGGGCCATCTAAATCTATTCAACTGGAACAGAGAACAGCCAGCCACACATGTGATCAAATTTGTTTACACTGAGTTAATTTGCTTCTGATTTTAGGTACACAAGGGCTTTATATGAAAAGTTATAGGGCTTCTAATTATACTTTAGCAATACAGCGTGCCACATCTTCAGGGGAAACTGAGACCTCTCATTGAAACCAGTGGGGACTTTTCCATTGACTTCAACAAGTACAGGACTAAGCCCATAGCCTAGCCCCCATTCAGGGCATGTCTATATTAGCAAGAAGATGAACCCTTTGGAGGTTGATCTTCTGGTGTTTGATTTGATGTTGCATACTTTAAACTGACATGCCTGGTCTAGTGTAGACCATGCCTCTGAGTCTTATTTTATTTCCATGTATCCAGCACAACTTATATTACCTAACTCATTGCCAGCATTTCAAACAAAAAGTTTAAAAGAATTAGAAGCAAAATCCAATGCACATTTCAGACAAGTTCAACTGATAATGTTATAAATTGATTCATAACCATATACTGTATAACCTTATATAACTGTAAATAATTAAAGAAACACTTCCCAAAGTGTTATACACAGAGAGAGAGAGAGACTAATAATCTTACTTTCCCATGTATAATAGTTGGGAAGTGTTTCTTTAATTCCACCCCTACAATTATGTGCACTCCTTTACTGCTTAACCCTCTGTATTAACTCTCCCCCACCCCCACCAATATAAATGAAAGACCAAGCCCATCAGTTTGAAATTGCTGATGTGCCTGATTGTACCATCCAGCCCAGCCTATTTTCTATGAGATATTCCACAAATAACTTTTGTTACATATGGTATATTGCTGATCTGTTATCTGAAAAAAAAAAAAGAGGCAGCTATAAAGCTTGTATAATCTCCTTGAGAAGGCATTTGACTGTGCAAAGCAGCCATTTATTTTAAAAGTCATCAGAACTTTGGGTTGTAGACAGATCTGACAGCTGGGTTCACAGAGCATAGAGAACGGAACAGAATTTTAGATTTCACTTGCACCTTTTTCATCTCAGATCACTTTACAAAACAAAGATTTAGATTCCGGTGATGCAGTGACCGTATAGGCAAACCCGACAGCCATTATGAGTCAGGCAATAACTCACCCGCAGCCTTGGACTCTGGAAACTATTTTATTGAGACAGGCAATGGAGAAAAATGAATTGCCATCAGCTGCAGTATTCCTGATAGTGCATGGCACTTTTTATTCCTTGTAAGAGAATTCTACAATATTCAATTTGCCGTAGTGCCAAACTTCTGCACATTTAATTATTTTAGTTATCAGAAATACAAACAATTACATATAAGTTACAAAATTAAATTAATGCAGAATCCCTCTCCCACAAAACTAGTCAGAGTGCCTGAGGTGGATTCAGTAATCGTTTCTCTGATAAGACTTATTTGACTTTACCACGTAAATAGAAATTGGTCAAATGTTCCCTTGCTTAATACCTGGGAAATTGTTTCCAAAAAGGCAATGACCTTCCGAATGCATCTTGGGTCCCTGTGATTTAGTCTGTGTTTTTGGTCAATGATTTATGGTATTCTGCAATACTCAGAATCTGGAGGTTTTTCTATTCCACTCATCATCAGTGGGACCAAAAGGGTCTCCAAGCCAAAGGAAAAATCTTGTATCAAATTCTTTTATATGAAATATTTACATATATAAAAGAAATGTGGTGGAGCTTGAATGAAGTTTCTCCTCTGATTCTCTTGATAGCCTATTTAATATCATGTCAGGATACAGTTACAGCACATAGTAAGGTAACAGGATTGCCTTCCCAGAGGTAAGTCTATCTCCATATAATTTAAGATACAGCCTTACATATAGAAATTACTGTCTGGCTAGCCCATCAATTCACTTTAAGATGGAGGCATATGGGCACTTATCTGTAAACAGCTACTAAAAAGAACATTGGCAAACATCCAAATCATGGTCTATTAATTGGCATTCCTTGTTATATGAACTGTTTACATGTACTTTATTCTTTTAGTGAAATTATTCATTTATTTTAAATTTACTATGCTATTTTTGTGCACTTTGGATTGCTCTTCTTCCATCAAACTTTATTTATAATTAACATTTTGCTTTCAGTTGTAGTTTACACCACTATGATTATTTCAAATTTATGATTATTTGAATGCTAATCAACATTATTTGATTTGCTTAACATTCAAATAATGAATTAAATGGGAATTGTATATATTTGTATATTTATTTCCCATTTTATCTCTTTATGCATGCTATTTTCGCTTAATAGAGGAATAAACAAGTGACTTCTGTAAAGAAAACAGTTATAGTATAGGAACAAATACTAGATTTTTCTACAGCTATTAATTGCAAACTTGTTCTAAAGGCAAATACGATTTTGAAGGATCAAAAAAAGGTATCAGTGATAATTGGAACACGGAGGCATGGAGGACATGGAAAGAAAAAATGCTTGATAGAGATACACTTAATTATGAAGGCTTACTCTAGTAATCCCTTTTGAAAGTGAAAAAGCAGAGATTTTTGATGTATGATGAACTTATCAAACAAGGCAGAATAATGGAGAGGTACATTTTAAAAGCTAGGTGAAGGTGAGCCAATTAAATACTTCATAACATGCTGAAGGATATAGCCACCAAATACTACTGTAAGTGTGAATATATGGGTTTTATAGGGTGTTCTGTTTGTCTTCAGGTTTCTGTTATTTGTCTGTAGTACTAGTCTGTTTTCATCTAGCATGCTGATCTTTACCCATAGGCTCCTTTGCTGAGCTTTTGTGTGTTTCATTTAGCATTCTCTCTTCTCCTGCAGCTTTTGATGAATCCCTAATGTATCTCCTACCTCCTCTAATTATCAGTGTTTCTCTTTGGACCCTCATCCCTTAAGTAAAACAGATTGCTCATTAGCTAATCGCCAAAAAATAATAATGCTAAGGGTTAGAAAGAAACCCACACAATGTGTTTTGAGACAGATATTTTGACATGGTGCTCCACACACAAAACAGTGCTTTATGCAAGTATAAATTGTAAGACCGAGGGACAAGTGCTCTCACTACTTCTCTGAGTAGCAAGATAACTATTTTCCTGGTGCTCTCTAATGCTGCTCCATGATTGTGTATGAGATTCTTCGAGGCTGTGATCCAAAAATCATTGACTTTCTATGGACTTTATTGGGTTTTGCCTCAGATCTAGAGATAATTATGTCTGTGCACACTGAATTTCTGAGCCTTATACAGCACATTTTACTTCTTATGTGGCTACAATTCCCTTTAAGGACAATGAGAATTTTCCTTGAGTAATTTTCCTTCACTACAGCCCGCATCGATGCTCTGAGATTGATCCACAGGCGGTCAATTTAGCAGGTCTTGTTAAGACCCACCAAATCAATTGTAGATCACTCTCCCTTCAGCCCTGTTACTCTACCTCAGAGAAGAAGAGTAAGGGAAGCTGATGGGAGAGTTTCTCCCATCAACCCACACAGTGTAGGGCCTGTGGTAACTTAACATAAAGTATGTTGACGCCAGCTATGTCATTCAAGTAGCTGGAGTTGTGCAGCTTAAGTTGACTTTCTGTTATAGTGTAGATGTAGCCTATAAGACCCTCTATGTCTCAGGTGTCCTTTCCTTTGGGGGATTTTGACTCATTCAAATACAATGCATTTCAACAGCGTCATTAAATTAGACTATAAAATTATAAAGTGGATTCTACATATGCACACCGGTATTGTTTGTTTGTACTATCAAAACACTGGGGCAAACTACTGGCTGGTGTAAATGGGCAGAGTTCTGTTGACTTCAGTGGAGTTTCACATATTTATACCAGAAGATATTGTGCCCCTCATCTTTATAGATTTATTCTGCCCTCAGTTATACTGATAAAAACCCAGTGTTATACACTGAAGCTATGTCTAGACTACAGGCTTCTTGCGCAAGAAGCTTTTGCGGAAGAGATCTTCTGCAAAAACTTCTTGCACAAGAGCGCATCCACACTGCAAAAGCGCATTGAATAAGCGATGCACTTTTGTGCAAACTGCATGGACACTCTCTTGAAAGAAAGCACTGATAGCTATTCACAGAATGGCTACCAGGGCACCTGTGCTTTTTTCAATAGGGTTTTTTTGCACAAGAGGCAGTTCCCCATCCACACACACCTTTTTTACACAAGAGCTCTTGCGCAAGAAGGAGTTATTCCTCGTAGAAAGAGGAATAACTGTTGCACAAAAACCCCTCCGTTCTGTCAATTACGTGCACAAAAACGTGCTTGAAGTGTGGACACTCTGTGAGTTTTTGCACAAAACCAGCTGGTTTTGCACAAAAACTCTACAGTCTAGACGTAGCCTGAGTGCAAAGGGTTTTCACAGGTTTAAGGAAGGATAGAATTTTGCCAAATCATATTTAGAATTGTATTGACATGGTTTTGTGCCATCTATATATTTCAAAATCATTTCCAAATTTCCATTCATGTTTTTAACTCTGTCATTCACCTGTGATTCCATTATCTTGATAGTTTTGGGGTGAGAGGAAAACCAAAATGTGGATTTCACTTTAAACTTTTATATTTTTGCCATTCTTCCACTTCACTACAGATTATTTTGCTTCCTTTATCCTTAATGTAATAGTCACACCATATCCTTTTGCAATACCCTTTCCCACTATTTTGTGCATAGCCTGCACTTTAAAATTTCCTCTTACGTTAATTATACGCTTTCCTTTACAAATTGCCCTCAAAAGAGGCCTTAAAGGTCAAAATGCTGTTTGTTATTTTTACTTGGATTCACAGCATGAATTCAAATTAGCTTTCTCTTCTATTTCCAGCATTCTGTTCCTGGCCAGCTTCTAGAATTTGGGTATAATACATTATTTAATAGGAGCTTTATGCTTGGTTTTTACAACACCCGTTATCACATATACTTTACTGCAAAATGATGCAATCTATTGGTAGAGCAGGAAATGAGAACAAGATATCCAGTTCCTGTTTTTGCTTCTGTCACTAACAAACTCTAGTGGTCAGATTTTTAGCTGGTACAAACTGGTGTATCTCCAATGACCTTGGTGCAGTTACACTGATTTACACTGCCAGTGGGTGGGAGCCAACTCTCTCCAGCAAGACGTTCCTAGGTTCTTCTAAAATCTGTGCTTGCTTGTAAACATAGATCTGATATTCATGCTGCTTGGCTCCACAGCTATTACTTCTTACTAAAATACAACTCCAAAACTTAGGCTGTATCATTTACTTTCTTCAGAAGAGCCAGCAGAGATATAAATACTCCGGCTCCTGTGAACTGTCGGCTAAGCCCGTGGTCAGAATGGACTGGTTGCTTTCCTTGCCAAGAGAAAAAAGTAAGTCTCAACCACAATGTATTCATGTATGTTCCGATGAGTCTGTGCTGATCATGTCCACAGTTTAATTATATGTACTGTGTTATGTATAGTGAGGGTACTGTCTGCTCTGTAACCTAGGGCTCCCCTACCTTGTGATTTGTGATTCCCACTGACTCACCCACATGTGTATTGGCCCAGACACCTAGGCCCAGCCTGAGCAGATAACACTGCTCTTCCCAGGGGGAGAGACAAAGGAAGGAGCAAGGCAGTTTTTGCAGGAAAAACATGAAGAGAGGAGACTAAGCTGAATATTCAGGGTTGAGGGGGGGCGGTGGATCCCCTACCCCAAGGGGTCTGAGGCAGCCTGGCCCTGACTCCTGTAACCACATCACATCTATGCTGTGCTGTATCCTGGAGAAGCAATAAACCCCCTCTATTCCACTGGCTGGCGGAGTCTCATCTTGCTGCTACAGGGGTGCAGGATCGGGGGAATTTCCCACGCGCCGCCACAGTGGTGTCAGAAGCGGGATGCACCGCACACTGTGACTACGTCTAGACTGGCATGATTTTCCGGAAATGCTTTTAACGGAAACGTTTTCTGTTAAAAGCATTTTCAGAAAAGCGCGTCTAGATTGGCAGGACGCTTTTCCACAAAAGCACTTTTTGCGGAAAAGCGTCCGTGGCCAATCTAGACACGCTTTTCCGCAAAAAAGCCCCGATTGCCATTTTCGTGATCGGGGCTTTTTTGCGGAAAACAAATCTCTGCTGTCTACACTGACCCTTTTGCGCAAAAGTTTTTCTGAAAAACTTTTGACCGAAAGGGAGCAGCATAGTATTTCCGCAAAAACACTGACAATCTTACATGAGATCGTTAGCTCTTTTGCGGAAATTCAAGTGGCTAATGTAGACTGCTGGCAAGTTTTTCCGGAAAAGTGCTTGCTTTTCCGGAAAAAGTGGCCAGTCTAGACACAGCCACTGTGGATGGAGTTCCAGCAGCAAGTGACGGGGTGCAGTAGAAGGAAGGGGCTTGTGAGAGACAGATGTGCTAGAGGCACAGCGAAGCAATTCCTGGGACTCTTGGGGCACTGCAGCACTTGGTCAGTGAGTCTAAACCCCAGGGACTGGTGGGGAGATGGCCTACGCCCAGCTCCTGAAGGCAGACTTTGTGGGGCTGTGCAGAGAGAGGGGCCTGCCCATGGGGAAAGCAACCAAGGCCCAGCTGATTGCCCAGCTGGAAGAGAACAACCAGTCCAGGGGCCTGGATTCTGTCCCAGCAGGGAGCAGCCAGACACCCCCTGGGAGTGTCTCAAGCTCTCAGACCGGAGGGAGGGCTGGAGTCCACCAGACAGATGCAGCGCCCACCAGGCCATGCTCCGCCAGCAGCTGTTCATCCAGGGCGGGGTCCAGCCCGGCAGAGCTGCAACAGCTAGAGATCAAGCTGAGGCTAAAGGAATTGGAGTCACAAGAGAAAGAGCGGCAGGACCATAGGGAGGAGCATCAGGAACGAGAAAAGGAACGCCAGGAACGAGAGAGGCAGCGGCAGCATGAGCTGGGAGAACCTCAGCGGGCCCGGGACGGCCAGACACTTTGAGAAGCTCATGTTGGCCCAATGTAAAGACGTGGGGGACATGGACGGGTTTCTTAGTGCCTTTGAGCAAGCCTGTGATCTACACCAGCTCCCCTCAGCTGATCGGCTCCAGCAACTCACCCCCTTGCTGGATCAGAAGGCCGCAGGGCTGCTCAACCAGTCAGAGAATCTGCAGCCGGATGACTACAAATGGGTCAAACAGGCCCTACTGCACAAACTGGGGCTGACCCCGAGACATACAGGAAGAAGTACTGGGGGGGGGAGGGGAGGATGCAGAAGGAGCCAAGGGAGACCTTTCTCCTGCCTGGTGCCATACTGTCGCACATGAGTGTTCGGGGTCAGGGCCCAGACCGCAGAGGACCTGGTTAAGCTGATGATCCTGGAACAGTTCTATGAAGCGTGCCCACCCATCCTGAGGCTGTGGTTCAAGGACCAGAGGCCCCCAGGACACCAGGAGGCTGGTGGAGGAGTTCACGGACAGCCAGTCCAGGTGTGAATGGGAGTCCCGGAGAGAAAGGGCATCACACAGAGACCGGTTCTTGGCTAAGCAACAGAGGAAATCACCTATGGGGCGAGACAGGGGCCAGCCGTCTGCCCCCCAGAGAGACAGCCAGGGCCCGGATGCAGCCAGCCCAAAGGGGACCGCAGGAACTAACCTGCCATGGCTGTGGGCAAAGAGGGCTCAGGGCACCAGGCACCAGGACAGGTCCCACAACCCGAGACTTTCCAGGGTTAACTGGCTGGGGTTGGGGGAAGGGCAGGCCACCCCAGATGCATGGGCCGGCAGGCAAACCTCAGTCCAAAGTGTGGGGAAGGCCTCTCAGGCCAACTCCCCTGGGAGATCTGACCCTCTGGAGGTGAATTTCTTCATGTACCGGGTGAGGGCTGGGTGTCCCCTGTGGAGCGAATGCCTTGTGCCCCTGCAGGTGGATGGCAGGGAGGTGATGGGCTACTGGGACACGGGTGCAGAGGTGACACTGGCCCGGCCCGAGGTAGTAGCCCCAGACCACATGGTAGCCAACACTCAGCTGATCCTGAGGGGCATAGGCAGGACTCCATTTAAGGTGCCCGTAGCCCGGGTGCATCTGAAATGGGGGGGCTAAGGAGGGCCCCAAGGAAGTGTGTGTGGGGGGGTACCGTCACTTGCCCACGGAGGTGCTGATGGGGAATAACCTAGAGGAATGGCCAGACAGACCCCACAGGGCCCTGGTCACCACCCATAGCCAGGGCCAGCGAGGGACTGGCAACCCTGACCCAGGGAAGGGTTCCCTGCAGGGGGCTCAGGGCCCCATTCCAGCAGACAGGGGGCCCAGCAGGGCTAAAGCCCCGGATCCAAGCAAGCGGGGGAGAGGGAACAGATCCATGTCCCTGCCCCAGCTGCGGAATTCCAGGCTGAGGTGCAGGCAAATCCCTCCTTATAGATGCTGAGGGACCGGACTGGCCTCTGCACAGCTCAGCCCCTGGGGAGAGGCTGCCAGGAGAGATTCCTGTGGGAGTGGGGATTCCTGTACTAGGAATGGCTCCCCCCAGGGAAGATGGGGACGTGGGAGGTCCAGCGGCAGCTGGTGGTTCCCCAAAAACATCATTCCAGTCTGCTGTATTGGGCCCGTGACATCCCATTCGCAGGGCACCGGGGTATTCGGTGTACCTGGCTGAGGCTGCTTCAGACCTTTTACTGGCCTGGAATATTTGCAGCCGTGCAGCAGTACAGCGGGGCCTGTGACTCTTGCCAGAGGACGCGTAAAGCCCGAGACCGGAGAGGAAGGGGGGGAAGAGAAGCTGCCTTGAGGTGCTGGCCCACCATAGAGGAGCCTGTACAGAAGGCAGCAATAGATGTAGTTGGACTTGTTGGCCAGGTGACCTGGACAGGGAAGAAATACATCCTGGTAGCAGTGGATTTGGAGATCCTTTTTTCTTGCTTTATGGGAACAAGTACATAACTTTTCCTTAGTCACTTTCTTCACACCTGTCATGCTTTTATAGACTTCTATCATATCCCCATAGTCATCTCTTTTCCAAGCTGGAAACTCTTATTAATCTCTCCTCTTATGCAGCCATCACATATACCTAATCATTTTTGCTTTTCTGAACTTTTTCCAGTGCCAAGATATCTTTTTTGAGGTGAGGTGACTAAATCTGCATGCAGTAATCAAGATGTGGGCGTACCATGGATTTATATAGAGGCAATAATATATTCTCAGACTTATTTTCTATCCCTTTTTAAAATGATTCCTAACATTCTGTTTGCTTTTTTGACTGCGGCTGTACATGGAGTGGATATTTTCAGAGAACTATCCACAGTAACTCCAAGATCTCTCTCTTGAGTTGTAATAGCTAAGTTAGTCCCTATCATTTTATACATCGAGTTAGGATTATGTTTTCCAATGTACATTATTTTGCATTTATCAGCATTAAAATTCATCTGCCATTTGTTGCCCAGTCACCTAGTTTTCTGAAATCCTTTTGAAGCTTTAACAGGCTGCTTTGGACTTAAGTATCTTGAGCAGTTTACTATCACCTGAGAGTTTTGCCACTTCAGTTCTATCTATCAATAGATCATTTATTAATATATTGAATAGGAACGTTCCCAGTAAGGAACCCATGGGACAATACTAGTTACCTCTTCTCATTCTGAAAACTGACAATTTATTCCTACTCTTTGTTTCCTGTCTTTTTAACCAGTTATCTATCCATGAGAGTATCTTCCCTCTCATCCTATGACAGCTTATTTTGCGTAAGAGCCTTCAAGCTATGTCTACACAGTGGAGCTATTTCAGGATAAATTCTGGTATCCCAAAATTGCTACTCCAGCATCCCTGTAACCTCATTTCATGAGGGTTAAGGGATTTGTCGAAATGGTGTTTTATTTCAAAATAACCTCGAAATAAAGTATGCAATTTTTGTAGCGCAAATTGAGCAGCTTATTTCAAGGCAAGGGTGCTCTGTAGATGCACCCTTGATAAGGGACCTTGTCAAAGAGTTCCTGGAAATGTAAGCACACTAGATCCACTGGCTCCCCCTTGTCCACATGCTTGTTGACCCCTGCAAAGATTTCTAGTAGATTGAGAAGGCATTATTTCCCTTTATAGAAACCATGTTGAATTTTCCCCCAACAAAATCAATGTGTCTGAGAATTCTGTTCTTTACTATAGTTTCAACCAATTTGCCCTGTATTGAAGTTAGACTTATTGGCCTATACAGGCAGTCCCCGAGTTACGCGGATCCGACTTATGTCGGATCCGCAGTTACGAACAGGGCTTTTCTCGCCCTGGAGGACGGGAGCGGCGGGACGCCCAGATGCACCACGGTCCGCCGCCCCCGTCCT